AATATTTCCATGTTGTTAAGCATGCTTGGTTTGGTTAACTGTCTGATCTTCTATTACGAGTATGTTATATTATGCAATGTGGTGCTCAGTTAACGTTTGGTTCATTTGTTATGGTGTTTAGTTAACTGCTCGGTTCAATTCTGCAATCCGATATTCAATTGTTGTGGCTGCATTCTGTTATTGTATATCATGTGAGAAATAAATCGAATTTGGCAGTACTAAATACACGAGAAACAAATACAATTGCTATATTTCCAAGTTGTTAAGTATGCTTGGTTTGGTTAACTGTTTGATCTTCTATTAGGAGTATGTTATATTGTGCAATGTGGTGCTCAGTTAACATTTGGTTCATTTGTTGTGGTGTTTAGTTAACTACTTGGTTCAATTCTGCAATGCGATATTCAATTGTTATGGCTGCATTCTATTATTATATACCATGTGAGGAATAAATCGAATTTGGTTGCACTTAATACACGAGAAACATATACAAGTGCTATATTTCCTAGTTCTTAATCATGTTTGGTTTGGATAAATGGGTTTTCCATGTGGCTTGAATTAATCTAATGAATCTGCAATGTGCTTATTTATCATCAACATATTTTACTAATAGAATACGAACCCTTACGTAACCTGATGACTATGTGTTGCAGGGAAACAATGGGAAGCATTGAGGTTTACAAGATGGTACTAACTATTATACCTTGCCTTTTTACTCTTTTGCCCCATTTCCAATATAGAAAAAATATTTATGCACATTCTTATTTTCAGGGTTCACTAATGATTACCTCTCAAACCACCTTTGTGGTCAGGAGGCGAGGAAAGTTTTTCATACAACACCCATGGTTCAATATTGAAGTGTTCTCGAAGAGGTTGAAGGATGGACGGTCAATCATCCACAGACACTGGCCTAAAGTTGCAAAGACCTTCAGCATGAATGAAGGCTCAATATTCGCCTTCCGCTTCAGCAGTTTTCCAGATGAGATGCATCTCTCTATGTACCATCTATGATGCTAATTTCGAAAGGTTCTAGATGTTGCATATGAAACTTGTTGCTGGTGCAGTTGTGTAATGGGGTAGCTGAGTGCTGTAGCTATATCATGTTGCACTCCGATGTATTTCAATTATGAAATCCTGCTTTCTTAATATGAAAATAGAATATATTATGTGCTTAATATGAATGTCAATTAGATTAGTAAATGGATTATTAATAATAGGGCAATTAGCCCGCTAATTGGCCAATTAGCTTGCTAATTGGGTTTTCCTATTGCAAACGGTTATTTAGAAAACACCGTGGGCAATGACCTCAGGCAACGCACATAGTTTCTAGGAATAAACCGTATTGGATCAATGAACATTCACACACGGTATTTTCTTGAAAACTGTTTGCGTTACGCCACCTTGCGCAAACGTTTTTCTTGGAGTGACTGTGTGGGATGAATATACGAACGGAAACGTTTAGCGGTGACTGACTGTGTGGGATATACTTACGACCAGAAATGATTTCGCATGTATAATTATATTTTTTAGCACTTCTATACGTATTTCTGCATTTGAGTGCTCGCCGGTCGCACACGACCTTATTTTGCCGAGCATGTGTGCGAGGAGGGCATATCTCCGATGGTTTCTGGTTCATGTGAGAATGACCCCCTATCGCCCACACTCACTAGGTGACGATTTCGAACACCGTCGCGGAAAGGGGTTAAAAACCGTTTGTATACCACCGATGTGTACCAGTGCACCCGAGCAGTGCACCCGTGCAAGGACAACCGGAGAGTCAAAGCGCATACAAAAAAGAGAGACCCCACACCTGAACCAAACCAAATTCGGGACACAACGCACATGAAACAAGGCACAGAAGGAGACGGACGGGTGGGACCAGAAGGAAGAGAAGCCCACTTGCAGCAGCTCCATCAACCGAGCTAGAGTAGCTAACAACAAACGTAGTGTTAACTTCTCCAAGGGAAATCGCGTGACGTGCACGTGTCGCATGCAGAGAGATTGTCCGCGCAGTCGGAACGAGCTGGCCCAGCCAATCATCTAAGATGAAAACAAACCGCACCCACATGTCATTGGGCGTGTGAATTTTCTGCGAGGTCGAAACAAACCGTGAAGATCCGACGTCAACAAACACAAAAATACCTGTTTAACCAGCATCCAATAGCCAAAGTCAAAGAAAATCGAGGGAGCTTCCTGGGAGCGGGTCGCCCAACCACCTTATAGTTTTTCACATATAAGGTAGCTGACCGTGTACCATGACAAATCTTTTTTCTCATTTTACATATAACCCCGTGATATTTAAACTAATCAACCCGCTGTCCAACTTTAAGTCACAGCGAACCATTTTTCAAAGTTTTTCATAAAAGCCCTTAATATTTGCGTTAATCAACTCACAGTCCATGTAGAATAAATATTTTAAAATAATCATATATTTTAAACCCTAACTCCAAGTTCAATATGTTATATATGAAATTAATTAGAAAAATGTGTAGAATCTGAATATGATATTATTTTTATCTATTAACTATTTTAAAATAATGCTATTTAGGGTGCAACCAAAATCAATGGCGCATAATCTGTCATTCCTTCGTGCCGGCGTCAATTCGTATTGCAAATGAACATGCGACACGCACTGCTCTATGTTGTTTGGCAAGGAACGAGTGTGGAAAAATGATTACAATGAACAAATTACAATCGGTAATCATGTTGTACTTCCACCAACTTCTCTCTTTGTACATGTCCCCTCATCGAAGACCCTACTTAAGTATTTTTTGGCGAAATCCACACACATATTTATCGACAGACTACACAATTCTTTTTTACAGTGAATGCACAAATAATTTTTATAGCATATACATACATTTATAAAACTCATGAACATCAAAAGTACATGAAGACTTATTTTGAAAATACCAAAACAGTTCTTGTGATAGTCATGAACGTTAATAATTGAAACCGATACATAGGATCTTAATTTGTGTTTTACATGCTGCATGTGATGGTGACACATATAGACTTTCTTAAATATATTTAATTTATAGGCACGGCCTCCTTAGTGTTGAACAACACCGATCGGTTGCTATCTGAGTCTAGGCCATAGGTGGTCGCCATCAATATTACGAGTCAGAACTAAAATTTTATCAAAATAACAACAGTGGCTCGGATAAAACATATTTATTCTCCCGTTACAACACACGGGCATGTTTACTAGTAAAGTATCAATAGACTTTTTCCTAGAAAAAACACCTTTTGTCTTGGTACACGGTCAGCTGATAATCTAGACTTTCGCATCATGTCCAACCTAATATCTTACTGACAGCTCCTCGATAGAACTTTCGTTCGGTGTACGCATTTAAGATCATAGACAAACGTCATGACTTAGGTGTGGTGTCTTTGTAAATAGCATACTACGACTATAGGTGTGGTGTTTACGTTCTGCAGATAGTGTAATATTACACACTCAAAGAATAGTATAAGAAGTTCATCTAAAAAATAAATAGTATAAGAAGTTCATCTAAAAAATAAATAGTATAAGAAGTTCATGTCAAAAATAAAAAAAATAGTAGTATAAGAAGTTATGAACGGTCAAATCAAAGAGGCCTCTGTTGTTAGGGCGTGGAACCCTGCTCGTTCCTTAGGGCCATGGCGGTGCGGTGGATCCCGGTCCTTATCGGCGGGAGGGCTCCGTTTTTACATGTTTCTTCAAATTTTGTTAGGGTTTGTGTCCTACTCAGAAATACGAGACGACTGCGGCTCCCTGAAGATGGAATAAGGTCTTCCCCGCCTAGCCCGTTCCGGTGGTGTGTCTAGCATCGCCGGTGGGCATGTGGGATAGATCTATCTTGGTGGATTTGCTCGGATCTGGTCATAGTTCGTCTACGTTTGTGTTTCTTCACGCTGGATCCTTCCAATCTACGCTACTCTTTATCTGCGATGATTGTTGTTCTGTTGCGCTAGTCCTATAGGGCCTTAGCATAAGGACTTTCCGATTGTCTACTACAACTAATTTTGCCCGGCTCCAACGAGGGAGGGCGTTTGTAGTCGTCGGTAGATGGTCTACGGACCTGGATCTAATATTTATTATTTCTTATGTTCATTATATTGCCATGATTGAAAATGAATAAATTAGAATTTTTCTGGAAAAAAAAAAGCTCCCGCCCTCGGCACTCGTCGGAGCAGGGAGGAGATCGGATCACCACACGCCGACGCGACATGGACGCCGTGGTTTCCTCAAAAAATATGTAGAGATATACACACGGTAGGTTTGACTAACGAATTAACAAAACCATTTTAATCCCGTACTCCGTACCAAAGCTTTGTCGCGGACTAGTTAGTATCGTCCGCGGTCAGCAGTGCACGCATCCAAACCGGGAGGAGGAGGTCATGACGACCGGTGTCAGTGTGAAGCCGAAGCCGCTGGACCAAGACCAGAAACCACATGCGAGGGAGAGGAAGCTCGACAAATACTAAAAGAAGCGGGCAACGACGTCGACATGGTGCTGCTTCGTCTCGGTCAAGCCACGAAAATCCAACCCCGCCGGGCACCGCGTGGCTAACTACGCACGCCTAATCGCCATTAGACTAGTACTTGTACGTACATCGACACCGCATCTCGGCGCGGCTGCCGGCGAGCTGGCCACGCATGCAGACGCACACGCCGGGGCTCGGCCCGGCACGCGGTGGGCTGGCTCCCGCCGGGTCTCTCTCTGTGCGCGGGCCAGCGCACCGGCGACCTTGTCGCGTGCTCGGGTGGCCATGGCATCGCGACGTCAAAGCGCATGGCAACTTGTGACCAACCACTGCGCTGCATCAATTAATAATTGACCCGCGGGGCGCTGCGGTCTGGAGTCTGGACTCTTCCCCCTCCCGCTATATAGCCCCGCCCAGACGTGCTGTGTCTGTCATCTCGCTTCATTTCTAGTCGTAGCTCGGAATCGGAGGCGCCTGCGGTCGAGTAGGTGATCCTGCTACAGAATTATAACCTGTTGTTGACGGAGGAGCCGATGTCAATTGCCGCGGCCGTCACCGGAGCCGCCACCGCGGCGGTGCACGCGCCCGTGCACCACGCGCCGCACCACGCCTCCCCGCAGCGCACGGCGCCGCGCCGCGAGCAGTCGCCGCTCAACCCGAGCTCGCAGGCGCTGCGCGCCGCCGGGTCCGGGGCCTCGCCCGCCGCGGACGGCGTGAGGGCGCACATCGCCAACCTTGACCGCGTGCTCGGGAAGCCGCCGAGGACGCCGAGCCAGGCGGGGCCGCCCAGCAGCAAGCAGGAGCAGGAGAGCGAGCAGGAGCCGCTCAACATCCGGCACGGCCTGCTCAACGCGCTCAACCTCTCCTTCTTCGTGCCCATGCCCGGCATGCGGGCGCGCATGGCCGCGGACGAGCACATGTCGCCGCGCAGCCTCATGCACATGCAGCAGCTCCTCTCGGCCGACTCCCCGCGCGCCTCCCCGCGGAGCACCATCGGGCCCCGGTGGCGCGCCCTCCACGGGGAGGGTGGGTGGGCAGGTCTCCTCGACCCGCTCGACTCCGACCTCCGCCGCGAGCTCCTCCGCTACGGCGACTTCGTGCAGGCGGCCTACCAGGCCTTCCACTCGCTGCCCACCGCGGCGGCGAGGCACCGGGGCCTCATGCTCCCGGACCGCTCCTACCGCCCCACGCGCAGCCTCTTCGCCACCTCCGCGCTGTCCATGCCGCCGTGGGCCAAGCGCCCCAACACCCCCGAGTGGCTCACGCAGCAGTCCAACTGGATCGGCTACGTCGCCGTGTGCGAGTCCGAGCGGGAGGTCGCCCGCATGGGCCGCCGCGACATCGCCATCGTGCTGCGCGGGACGGCCACCTGCCTCGAGTGGGCCGAGAACCTGCGCGCCTCACTCGTGCCCCTCGACGGCGAGCCCGGCGAGGGCAAGCAAGCCGGACCGGAGGACCCCAAGGTGGCCCGCGGGTTCCGGAGCCTCTACAAGACGGCCGGGGAAAAGGTGAAGAGCCTCTCGGAGGACGTGATGGACGAGGTGAGACGCCTCATGGAGAAGTACAAGGGCGAGGAGCTGAGCATCACGATCGTCGGGCACAGCCTCGGCGGCGCGCTGGCGCTCCTGGTGGCCGACGAGATCGCCACGACCGTCCCCGACGCGCCGCCGGTCGCCGTGGTCTCCTTCGGCGGCCCGAAGGTGGGCAACGCCGCGTTCGTGGACAAGCTGAAGCAGAGCGGCAAGGTCAACGTCCTCCGCATCGTCAACGCCGGCGACATGGTGACCAAGGTGCCCGGCGTGGCGCCGCGGCTGCCGCTGAGCAAGGAGCAGTACCAGCACGTGGGCGCGGAGCTGCGCATCGACAGCAAGAACTCGCCGTGCCTGCGCCCCGACGTGGGCCCGGCGAGCCGGCACGACCTGGAGGCGTACCTGCACCTCATCGACGGGTTCACCGCGACGGGGCACCCGTTCCGGTACGACGCGCGGCGCAGCGTGATACGCCTGCTGCAGCTGCAGAAGGGGAACGTGAAGAAGGAGTACGTGAACCGCGCCCGGGAGCTCGGCGTCGACCCCGCCGCGCCGGCGGACGTCGGCCGGAGCATGGCGTACGGCAACTGCCCCGTCGCGAGCCCGTCATGACCAAATCGCGCAGTAAATTTAGTTGTGTACTGTAGAGACAAACAATTCTTTCGTTAGTCGGCAGGGCGTCGGTTCCAGGAAAATATCTCATTTCCATCGTTTCGTTTTCGTTTTCGTTTCGATGCATGTACAGGAAAATCATGTATGTGTGCGTGACATAATTGATCAGGCGACAGCTTGAGTGTTTTGACCACAATGTTTTGTTCACCACTTGCGCAACTGCGCTGCCTCCTACTCGTTCCATTTTTCCTTTGGACAGAGACCGGTTCCCTCCCTGCATTCTCCAAAACAGAGACCGATTCTTTTTTTCTGTTAAGAATACGCAATCGTGTACCTTAGTTTTATAGAAGGCAGAAATATGTACAAGAACGATTCCATTCCATTCCCTCCGACAAAGGGTAGAATTTTTCAACCCATGTAACATTAACGTCGACTTTTTACTATCAACATCAGTCATCAGCTTAATCACAACTCTGAATATCTTATGAATGGTTCTGATCCCTGTAAAATTATTATATACTACCGGTTCTTTACGGTTAACAATTCATTTGTTACCGATGGCAACACTCGGAGTGGAAGTCACCGAAGCTAGAGCGGCCTTTTTCTTTTCTATGGTGGACAACCCCGAACCTCCCTTTTTAGTCTTTTACTACAACCAGTCTAGAGTAGTTTTTCAGTATTTTTCACGTGTCTTAAAAAATCTTCAGTGGTAGAGAAATCAACTACCTTCACAAAAAATACGTATAAAGTGCACTATCACCCAGTGTCATTTTCAGCAAATTAATACGTGCATCGGATTATGACTGACAAAAGAAGTGGCTGCTATGGTTATAAACTACTTCCTTTGTCCCGCAATGTAAGTTGTTTTTCCAAGCTAAACTAGTTTGCAAAAACGTCTTACATTATGAGATAGAGGGAGTAGAAAATTGCTCACGAAGAGATGACAATATGAAACTGCTTCACACACGACATGGTTTGCACCATCTGTGAACGATACGCAGTCCACGGATCAGCTAAGGAAAAAAAAACAATTGCCTTCGGCGTGCACACTCGTGTAAGCGTCAGCTGCAAGTCTATAGTGTGTATAGCAGCGCTCATAGTATGACACTGACTGTGTTTTTTAATTTAGTTTGTGGAAATCACAAAAGTCTATTCTAGTTTTCAGAAATCTCATTTTTTTTGACCTAGTTATTTTCCTTTCATGTTGAGTGAAGATCAACTCTTCATTGTCGCATGGCCGAAGAGCTCTTTCCATGTCCGCCTAAGCGAAGAGTGCTCTTCGCGGCCGACGGGGCTGAAGAGTTACTCTTCGTCGCCTGTGCGAACGAAAAGCCCCAATAGGGCCCACCACGTCGTGTAATCGGGGCAACGAAGTTGCTTGTAGCTCTTTTTGTTGCTGGCGCGAACAAGGAGATCTTCTCATTGCTTGCGCGAATGAAGAGATCTTTTAGTTGCTGCCGCGAACAAAATTTTTTCCCGCGTTTGCCCTTCATGCTTCGGACATCCTCTCCTTTCCCTTACTGCCACCCCTGCCCCGCCCTTTACTTTCCCGCCATCTCCACTCCTTCCCTTTGTCTTCCCGCCATCTCACTCTTCCTTCTCGCACATTTTTTTCCACCTTTGCTCTTGCCTCGCTCCTTCTATAAAACCACTCCCCGCATGTTATGGTATGCATCATACCTTAGTCATTTCTCCAGTCTTGTCTGGTGCCTCATCTTGCCATTTTACTCCAGTGATGTCCCATTTTGCTTCTGACATATGTCACAAAAATG